ATAGCAGCAGCAACAGCACCACCACCACCACCAGCAACAACTTTCCCTACTTTCAACACCACCAGCGGCATCACTATCACCATGCTCACCACCACAACTAGCAACACCATCACCACTAGCGGCAGCACCAGCAGCAGCAGCAACTTCAATGATATACACATTTTCCTCTATATGTGTACATCTCACCATCCTCCCACCTGGCGCCCCATGCGTTTACCTGACTCTTAATTTACCTATCAGATCTTTGCAATTTTCATCCCGTGTTTACACACTGTCAGCGGAAGAAGCTAATGCAACGCTGGTGATAATTTTCTCGCGTGTCCCCCGAGGACGGCGGAATGTGTGATCGACCTGACGTGTATGTTGCTCACTACGGCATCGTGGGAGCCTTGTGGCTGGTACCTCACGTCTGGGAGGACTGAAGTGACGGTGTGAGGAGGCGTGGAAATTTGGAAAGACGGGTGATAAGGAGGAAAAAGTCCGGGGAGGAGGATAGGGAAACTAAATGGAGAGGAGTAGAGAGAAAAGTAAGGAGTAATCGTAGAAAGGGCTAAAAATGGAGGGATGTGGAAGAGTGAAGAGGGGTAAAGGAGGGGGTAAAGATGGATGAAAAGTGACCGGATCAGTGTATGAGGGAAGAGTAAATTGAAGGATGTGGGGTGATAAGTGAAATGATTGAATTTTATGTGAACGAATGAAAGTGTTTGAAAGGGAAAGAACCACTGGGACGGAGGGAGGGAGGGATGAAAAGAGGGAAGGAGATCGCAGAAGGGAGCCAGGGAGGGATGAAAGGAGAGTTCGAGAACTGCCAGCACTACAGCTTGCTCGATGAAGTTAAATACTAGTGACTGCTCGAAGTGACACCGTGCGCACGTCTCTTAGTTAAACTCTAATTTACCAAGCATTCGAGAATACAGAATTTATCCTGCTTGTGCGGAGTATGTGAGAGCACCTCCTGGCGGTTCCTACGATCCATGGTTGCCTGGAGATCGTCGGCGCCACCAGCAGGCGCTCCAGGCGCCAAAGTTTTTTTTATACTAATGTAGGTTTTTGGTTATCAAGGTAGTTCTGTATTTGTTTTTGTCTGGTAAGCTTTGGGGGAGCTAAGGGCATTTCAGGGGCTGAAGCTCGTTGGCGACGCAAATGAGGAGCTTCTAGTGGTTTCAACGATTCATAGTCTACTTGAGGTCGTCAGCACCACCAGTAGGAGCTCCTGGTGGTTCCTATTACCCATACGTTGCCTGGTGGAGGTCGTCAGCGCCGCCAGCAGAAGCTACTGGAGGTTCCTACCACCCATAAGTCGCCTGGAGGTAGTCAGCACCGCCAGCAGGAGCACCTATGAGAGAACTGGGTGTTGGAGCTGGTGGTCAGGCGCCATACTGACCGCCACTCTTATAAATATTTTGTAACAAGGCAGGTGCAGATATCTCCAGCCCAGCCACACACCACCCAACACCACGTACCGTCACCCTGCACACTTATCCATATATACACACAATGGTAGAGGAAAACTCAATACACACCTTGAAGACTAGATATGGAAAGCCCAAGTGGCCATAAATCCACGAGTGGCTTGTTCAGTCTTAATACGAATCCTGTATTAAATGACCTAAACTGTACGTAATTTTTTTTTACACATCTTGTCGGTATCAACATACCATTTCTCACAACTCGATGGCGCTGTATAGCCCTTGTGGCTTAGCGCTTCTTTTTTATTATAATAATAATAATCACAACTCGGTGACTACACGCATGCATATATACTTATACACACGTAAACATATGCATGTGTATACGTGTGCAAGAGAATACATCCATACACATTACATACATACATTATATATATTGATAGGCGAATGCAAACGCACAAGTATACATATGCACATGAATAAATACCCATATGCATACAAGCAAACAATATATGCAAGCACATGTGTTCACACATACATATGCACATACATATGCAATAAGGTACATACATGCATAAAGCACGCACACACACATACACATACACACATACACACACATACACACACACACACATACATACACACACACACACATACACACACACATACACACACACACACATATATACACACACACACACATACACACACACACACACACACACACACTCACCACTGTAACATTAACACTGTTGAGGTCGTCCTGATTAAGAACTTCCCAAGTATATATTAATCCATCCCTTCACGAGGTTGCTCTGATGCTGCTGAGCGGCTCTTTATTCAAGGAATTAGGGTAATCGTCAGGCACGTTTTGCGTGCATCAGCGTGCCTGATGTACGCAAATATATATATATATATATAAAATATATATATATATATATATATATATATATATATATATATATATATATATATATATATATATATATATATATACACCGGCTGCACGGCTGCAAGCACATATGCAGCCTTAATGACCTTCATGTTCCAATAGGCTGGAAGCGCAATTAACCAACCAATAACAATTACAGTTTTTCTTAGCGTCGCTTCAGTCGTATATCATGTTAAAAATTATATTTTTTAAGTGAAACTTTGATTGTGATAAAAGCACAATTGGTCGTCATAATTGGTGGTTCACTCTGGCGTAACACACTCGGTTATACTCATCTTTTTTTTTCACTACACTTCAGTAGGTATTTTCAATTAAGATTTTTTTCTTTAATGGGCAGCGAATTGCGAGCCGTTGTTGTTGATTTTAGTTTATAGTATCGTGATGCAACATTCACTGTGGTAACACTGTGGACCAAGATCACAGTACATATTGTAAGGTCACAGTACACACTAAGATCACAGCACAAGTTGAGGTTACAGTGCACCCGTTAAGGTCACAGTACACACTAAGTTCACGGTACACACTTTAAGGTCGCAATACACTCTGTAAGGTCACAGTACAAACAGACACCACACACACACACACACACACACACACACACACACACACACACACACACACATTATGTCTTGATAAAATAAAAGGAGATTCCTTGATGCATCCCAGATAGAATATAAAATATATAGGGGGTGGTAGGAGAAGAAAATATTCAAACAGCTCCGGGGAGAACCTTGAGTTTTCCCTGAGGTACGTTTATTGTCTTCTCTGAGGATGAGGGTCCCCATTCTAGCTATAGAGGTGGCACTTCCCTATATATATTGTGTACAGGTATACAATTTTGATTTTCATAGAGGAAGGGTCATTACATTAGATTCGAGGATTGGAAGAATAGCTTCAGCTCCTTGGATCAAGAGACCTTCAGCATCAACGAACCTCTCTTCAAGTGATGGTCAGTGTACTGAATACTCTCGCAGGTGCCTTGCTAATGGTGTAGGCCTCTTGATCCAAGGAACTGGAGGTAATCTTCCCATCCTTGGATCAAATATAATGACCTTCCCATATGAATATGAAAATTTTTTACTTGTATAGAAAAAAAAATTATCTTCCATTTTAAACGTTGGTTTGCATAGTTATCCTGTTGGTGATATATATGTGCTTTATGAGATTTATATATGGTAAGACAGCGAGTGTTGTTCCCTACTAAGATAACAGTCGTGTGATGTAAGATAATCGCTCGTATTTTCGGTTGCAGTGACCCTTACGGGTTTTGGTGTTTTCCATAAATATAATAATAAACCAGTAACACAATGGTAGTGTATTCACCTAGCTAGATAACAGTCGAAGTGTTTAGAAAGATAACGGGTTTTTTTTTTTGGGGGGGGGGTTCTCTTAATTGAAATAAATAATATAATTTCCTGCTGTGTATATGTCCTGGTTGACCTTCATCAGTAGTGCTTGCTTTAACCTACCTCCCCCCCCCCCCTCTCTCTCTCTCTCTCTCTCTCTCTCTCTCTCTCTCTCTCTCTCTCTCATATTTTTTACACAGTTAATCTGTGAATATGGAAGCGCCAAGTGGTGGAAAATAAGAATGACTAACGTTTATAAGTTCCTGTCAGTGTAGTCAATTTCTATTCCGCAGTGCAGGATAGACTTGCAGCAAGCATATTGCATTTGCACCATGAACACACCAGTTGACGACTTGAAGACAAAAAACAAAACGTAAAGCAATAAGAAAATGCCTCACGAGTTCATGAGAGTAATGAAGGGTGCGATGATAGTTTAAGTAAGGTGGTATGTGACCCACTTGCAGTAATACTGGACACGGCGCTGGCCGCTCCTCCTCGTAGCTCTCTGGTAGTCGGTGATTTCAATGCCACGTTCATCCCTCCAGATAGTGATCCAAACTGAAGCTCGGAACGTGAGATAAACAACACACACACACACACACACACACATCTATCTCTGTAGCAAATGCTCCTTTTTGCAAATCTAAGATTAGCTATAAGGAATCTCAGAGTCTTACACTACTGTTTATATAACACCTCCATATGTCAAGATTATCTTGGAGTACACAGCACCAGCATGGAACCTACACCTCATAAAGCAAGTCAAGGAACTGAAGAAAGTGTAAATGTTTGCAACAAGGCTAGTCGTGGAGCAAATAGGAATAAGTTGTTAGTAGAGAATAAAAGAACTAAAACTGAAGACACTAGAGGAGAGAAACACCAAGGAACATACAACATAAAAAATACTCAGAGGACTTGAGATTTTCGAAGGGGATAGACTGTTCGAGAGGCGGGGAACGAGTACACTAGGGTAGTATTAGAAGATAGACGCGGATGTCAGGAAGAATTTCTTTATCTTGAGGTTGGTCATGAGAGGCAGGTTCCGTGCATAGTTTTAAGAATACGTATGAAAGGCAAACGTGGCTAGGGGGAGTAACCCTGGCAAGAGGCAGGACCAGGAGCTGAAACTATTGCAACGATAAACAGATTAATACACACACACACACACACACACACACACACACACACACAGACACACACACACTAAAAAAATAATTTCTGCCACCTAATGAGCAGTTTGACGTGCAGCAGAGCCATGCTTGACATTATCACAGCGCTGGACAGGAAGCTTACCTTTCCGTATAGCGAGGCGGTGCTTAAGGAAACACAGCCATTGACATCATACAGTGCCGGCGGAAGCGTTGTTGGGAAGCTCCGTCTCGTTACTCAGTGACTATTATATGTCCAGTCAGTCACTGCGTCCCCTAACTTGAAGTCGTTTATTTACTAGTATACTTCCACTACGTCAACACTAGTTATAGCGTCCCCAGTTTTCACTACACACTTGTAGCCTACCCTACCCTCCCTGTAAGCTACAATACTCTCACCACCTCACACTTATACCCACTTAGAAGGAACAGGACATCCCTCTTATACTTCAAAGTCACTTCAGTATTAAGTGGAGGGTATGTATTTAGTAAATGTTTTAAAAAATTGCAAGTTTGGAGTCGCTGCGCGCTAACGTAGCTAGAAGATACAGCGTGCAGTGGACAGACACTGCAGGATGTGTAAGTGTGTCAGGAGTGAGTCAGGAACTGCTGGAGAAATCCCGATGCTTCTTCTGCCGTGGCCAAACACCAACTAGAGCCACGGCGTAGCACCGCCCCTCATCCCACTCACCGCCACCCCTCACCCTCTCCACCGCCCCTCACTCTCTACCACCTCTCACTCCCCTCGCCCCTTAACACCCCGCCCTCCGAAGCTCTCGTAAAGTCTTCGAGTCTCTTCTCTCCCAGACCTCCACAAGAACGAGCTGCCAGTCAACAATGGACGGGAGTTTCGCACTTAATCGTATGTCTGAAAGGAGTTTGGTCGTTCGTATGAGAGCTTTTTAGTTTCTAGGCTGTGTGTGTGTTTGTGTGTGTGTACTCACCTATTTGTACTCATGTGTTTGTGGTTGCAGGAGTCGATTCACAGCTCCTGCCCCCGCCTCTTCGTGCGTGTGTATGTTTATTTAATTACTCATATATTTGCTGGAGTTGATTCAAAGCTCCTAGTCCCGTCTCTAAGCCCTATCAACCAGTTTCACTGATACTGGCCTCCAGGACCCAATCATACCGACTCTTGAAACTGTACAGTTCTTACCTGCACCACTTTTTCAGCTAATGTGTTCCAGTTACTACTCACAAATTTAAACAAATACTTCTTCAATAAAGATTCCCATGCGTTGAATAAGTGTCTCAATTCTTCTTCGGTTTTCAAAATCATTCATCACACAAATACTTCCTAATGTACCTGTGACTCGTATTCGGCTGCAGTCTGTTACCTGGTTCCTTCTCCTCTCATGGTAAACAGCGTGCTCCCATCTGCTTAATCCTCTGAGTATATTGCATGCCGTGATCATTTACCCTGACCAGGTCTTCCTTATTCTAGTGTTCAGAGTTCTCAGGTCTATTTTTGTGACCCATTTCCCTCACTTCCGGTACCAGTCTCGTTCCAAATCTTTGGAGTTTTACTGATTTCTTTTATATGCTTAATCAAGTGCCGATTCCATACTGGTGCCGCATACTCTAAGAAAGGCCTAATGTATGTTGTGTATAATGTCCTAAATGTCTATAATGTCTTACATTGTTCAAGTTTTTGAAAGATGCTCTCAGGTTATATCTCCATTCTTATGTTCTTACGTTATCTAGTCTTGCATATGCTGTTGAAGTTGTACGATTTATATTATGCTTGGAGAAATGTATTTCCATATCTGTCTCTCTCTCTCCGATAGCACCATGGCTGCAGCCTGTCTCCTCCCAAGTTGTATTCCATGTTCGGTCATCTCGCCCTATCTTCGATAGGCGTCATTTACCACTTCTCAGGACCGAATTCAAGTGGCCACCTTTTTGATCAAGTTTTCAGCTGTTCGAGTCTTCTTGAAGTCTCTCCGTGTTCCGTCCGAGCCTTATACTCATTAATTTCCCATCTCCTAACAGGTATACATATGATTACTTTTCCCCTGCAGTTCGTTGACGTGCCTCAGAAAGACTCACGAAATCGTAATAACACGGTTTCAAATAAATCACAGAACGGGTGGAGTTTGATCCCGTGATAAGTGAGTGCAAAAACTCACTGGCTTGTGAGTTTTAGGACTCACTTGCTATGGGTTCAAGCCTCACCCGTTCCGTGAGTTACATCAGGAATATCAGAGGTCAAGGCACTGAATCTTGAGGAACTCCACTCGTTATCAGTGCCCACTCCGACAGTTTCTTTGCCATTATCCTCTGCCTTTTATTCACCACGTCTTCCTGTATCCGGTGTGTGTGTGTGTGTGTGTGTGTGTGTGTGTGTGTGTGTGTGTGTGTGTTTTGTGTTGTGTGTTTCTTGGCTGGTACAAGGAAAAGGGTATGCATTAACAGGTGATCGGTAGCGTTAGAGTCTATGTTCGCTGAAGTTAACGGTTATATTTACTGTTTTTAACAGGAACATCCACTATTCTTAACGGCTGTGTCCGTTGTTAGTGGCTGTGTTGACTGGTGGAGGGGCGGGATGGCCCGCTTTTTGTCCAGTCCCAGAGAAACACTTCAAGCTTCAAGGGCGACTTTCTCTACACACACACACACACACACACACACACACACACACACACACACACACACACACACACACACACACACACACACACACACACACACACACACACACGCACACACTCAACACACTCAACACACTCAACACACAGCACACACAACACACTCAACACACACACATACATATATGCAGAAAAAGCTCATGGGGATGATGTATATTTTTAGCTGTATACAGTACCAGGCCTGGTCACAGACCGGGCCGCGGGGGCGTTGACCCCCGGAACTCTCTCCAGGTAAACTCCAGGTAAACACAAGAAACTGATTGAAAAACTAGAAGAGCAGACAGGAATAATAGGAAAAGCACTGCACTGGATCAGGAAATACCTTACAAGAAGGAAACAATGAGTGTTAGTACGTGATGAGCTGTCAGAGTGAGCGCATGTGTCGAGTGGGGTTCCACAAGCGTCAGTCCTGGGTCCGGTACTATTTCTTGTATATGTGAATGATATGATTGAAGCAATAGATTCAGAGGTGTCCCTGTTCGCTGATGATGTGAAAATAATTACGAGAATATAAGCAGACGAGGATCAGGTAAGATTACAAGGGGATAATTACAGGCTACAAACTTGGTCCCACAAATGGTTCCTGGAGTTTAACCCCGCTAAGTGCACTCATGAAGTTTGGGGAAAGACAAACAAGACCGTAGACGGAGGACAGGCTAGGGAATCGAAGACTGTAAACCTTATTTAAGGAAAAGGATCTCGGGGTGAGCATTATACCAACCACGTCCCCAGAAGCGCACATCAACTAAATATCTGCTGTGGCATACGGGCGCCTGGCAAACCTAAGAATAGCATTTCGACAACTAAGTAAGGAGTCATTCATGTCACTGTGCATGTACGTCAGGCCCGTATTGGAGTATGCAGCACCAATATGGAACCCACACCTGGTCAAACACGTCCAAAAATTGGAAAATGCAAAAGTTTGCAGCAAGATTAGTCCCGGAGTTATGGGGTATGTCTTGTGAGGAGAGGCTTAGGTAACTCAATCTGATGACAGTAGAGGATCAGAGGGTTAGAGTAGACATAATAACGACGTGTAAAGTACTGAGAGGAATTGATAAAGTAGACAGAGCTAGAATGTTTCCGAGATGGGATATAGGAACAAGGGAAAACAACTGGAAGTTGAAAACTCGGATAAGTCAAAAGGATGTTAGGAAGTATTTCTTTAACCTTAGAGTTGTCAAGTGAGTACATACACATACACGAGAGCCAGCTTACAGCTCCTAATTAGTCGCTCCTTCGTAGCGTTCATCAGCTGGTGTAGCGTTCATCAACTGATGTAGCGTTCATCAGCTGGTGTAGCGTTCATCAGCTGGTGTAGCGTTCATCAGCTAGTGTAGCGTTCATCAGCTAGTGTAGCGTTCATCAGCTAGTGTAGCGTTCATCAGCTGGTGTAGCGTTCACCTCTGCAAGTAATGGCGCTAAGTGTTCTATTCCACGCATAATGTCATTATGAAGGGAAATTGTCTGAAAAGGCATTAAAGATAAATCTTTTATTTGGTATCTTCTGCTAGTGAGGAAAATGACTCATTTGTGTCAAGTCGGACCGAAACATAAGCTCCTCTTTCCCATGTGCGGGTTATTTGTGCATAACCCAAGAATGTCAGGTTAATGTTAAACTAACGTTACATGCCTTGTCAGTGGGGGGGGGGAAGTGACCCCTAAATTCCTTGCAAATGCAGACTTTTCCCTTTTACCTTCTTTGTTGTGTGTATCAGACTCGGGTGAGAACTGTGTCAAAGATCCTTCCTACAGTCCAAGAATATGCAGTCAACCTTTTCGCTTCTTGATGTTCGTAACTTCTTAATGTTTTATTCAGATTTGTGAGGCAAGATTTGCTTTTCCTTGTGTTTTGGTGTTACGTCAGAAGTTACATTCTTTCCAAACAGCCCACCAGTGTGCTTGCACATTCCTCTGCAAGCACTTTGCATAAAATGTTCGTCAGTGATACCGACTTTTAGTTTAGTGCCGTGCGTACTCGCCTATTTGTGGTTGCAGAGGTCGAGTCATAGCTCCTGGCTCCGCCTCTTCACTGATCGCTACTAGGTCCTCTCTCTCCCTGCTCCATGAGCTTTAGCAGACCTCGTCTTAAAACAAAGTATGGTTCCTGCCTCCACTACGTCACTTGCCAGATTATTCGACTTCCTGAGAACTCTGTGACTAAAGAAATACTTCCTAACGTGTGTGTGTTGTTGTTGCCTTCCTTGAGGGTGTTCCGGGGGGTCAGCGCCCCCACGACCGTGTCCATGACCAGGGCTATATGTAGTTGCAGTAGAATAGCGATGCTCGTGGTGTTCTTTTTTAAATGTTTTCGTAATATATATTATTTTCGTTTTTAATGGTTGCAGAACCTGACTGCTCGTGAAGACTCCGTCTCTTGCCTCGCTTTTTGAGCAGAAAAATTTAGTATTTTTATGACACTTTTTTTTGCTTAAAGATTTTAGCCTTTCGTCTTCCTTGCTTTTTTTCATGACAGTTTGTTGCGACATGTATGAGAGTTATTTTTATTATATATATAATCGGTTGTGTATCTATGTAGTGAGAGGTTCGTAGTTCTCTGTTCCAAGAGAGATGTAGATTTCTCAGTAATATATATATATATATATATATATATATATATATATATATATATATATATATATATATATATATATATATATATGCAATAAGATCACAGTAAAACAGGTGATTTCAGAATATGCAAAACAACCACTCTGAAAGAATAGAGAAATTCCAAGCGCTTTCGTGACTACTCACATTATCAAGGAACTAATAATGTGAGTAGTCACGAAAGCGCTTGGAATTTCTCTATTCTTTCAGAGTGGTTGTTTTGCATATATATATATATATATATATATATATATATATATATATATATATATATATATATATATATATATATATATATATATATATATATGCAGATAAGTGTGTATCTGTGTATATACAGCGGAAGGTGTGTATCTGTGTATAAGATAAAGGTGCGTATCTACGCATATATGCTGTTTATTTTAA